CCTAATACATCGCAGGCATTCTTCTGTATATTTGGTGCATGTCAGTGAAAAAAAGCAAAGAAATCCCTGTCTTTTGTAGGGTCTACCTTCCAGGATGGGGAAAATGATATTTTACAGTGTACTAGAAGGTGATACGTCCTTGGGAAAAAATAAAGCACAGTCGGTGGTGGAGATGGAGATACAGTGGGAATGTGTTCTGAGCAGAGCCTTCAAGTATGTGAGGAAATGAGCCGCCCAGGTTTCTGAAGGAAGAGTGTATCAGCCAGAGAGAAGAGTTAATGTAAAGGGTATACGTATGCCTGATATAGAAGGGACAGCTCAAAATGATCGAGAATTACTAAGACACTTGTCTGATGTGTGAGATGCCATGCATTTCATACAATACAGCCTTTGCATATAAAACAAGTAAATGAATAAAGGCAAATAGCAGGTGTTGGTTGGAGGATAGCCCAGGCTTCCTGTTTTCTGTGCCTTATCTCCATCTTTGGGTGGAAGGGCAAATATGGTGATGTCAAGCTGTGGGGAAAGGACCAGATTCACAGGGCTATCTTTGCAAGGAACCTATGTCCACTGTTCTGGGACATCTGGGCAGCCATCCTGAGAGTAGTTCTTCACTGTCTCTGTAAATTTCCTAGTCCTCGTTCACAGCCACTCTAGTTTTCATTTCATTCCCTGAACCACCAAAGACCTGTCCTGCTAGGGGTCTGGTCATTGCTTCATTTACTGATGATAGATATCACAATGTTCATATGACTGGGTTCTTCTTGTTGCTTGGGTCTCATTATCTTTGTCACCACCAGAATGGCCTCTTCTGACCTCCTAATCCAGGTTAGTTCACTTATTCCCACACCCCACTCTGCTATCTTTACTTTTTCTGGCATAATATTCTTAGTACTGGTGTGTGTGTGTGCGCGCGCGCGCGTGTGTGAAATTATTTTGCTTATTATGCATTTCCTTGTCAGTCCTTCATGAAAATATAAAATAATTAAAATAAAATTTTGTTATGTTCAGTACTATGAATCAGCAGTGCTTACATGGTAGTTCAGCAGAAGAAATCCTCAAAAAATCATTTTATTTTTGTAGCATGGATAAATTATAGAAATGTCAAAACAGCATATATTGAGTATTTACTTTGTGCTATAAATTGTGCTAAAATACTATTCTGTAGCTTTCTTGTTTGAAGCATCTTGCCCACACTTTTGTCAAGGGTTTTTAGGGACATTTGTCCAACTCAGTTACCCAGTATTATAAAGCTAGTTAGTTAAGTCTTTCTTTGCCTCTGTAACCTTGTAACCATTGTACCACACAGCCATTAAGAGAGCTCTGCAGGGGTTGGTGTTGTAGCTCAATGGTAGCACGCTTGCCTAGTATGTGTGAGGCACTGAGTTCAATTCTCAGCACCACATATAAATAAATAAAATAAAGGTCCACCAACAAATGAAAAAAAAGTTCTGCTGAGTCCCCAGTTTCTCTGCATATCAGCACCTTAGAAGACCTATATTAGCCAGTATCTATACTTGGTAGTTTATTTTAATACTTACATTGTGCAGACTTGTTTATTTTGATGGTGGGGAGTGGTATTTAGTAAAAAATCAAAAGTGGCTGCCCTTAGACTGAATTTGGCCCATAGTTATCTGTGTTTGTCTGATAACATGATTTCAAAACCGGAAAGCTCATCTAAAAATCTAGACAGCAACAGCTCATTCTGATGGGGGGGTGGGGTGTTCTTGCCCACTGCAGCCTCTTCCGTTCTCACCTGCAGGTCACCCTGGCCCCAAAGGGATTCCATGTTTTTAAAGATGATTTTGAAAAAGAGATATGCAGCATGTTTGAGTAGTTGATGTGCATGAAGTTGAAAGCGTAGTTACATGAAAAAAACAAACAAACAAACAACCAAGAAGCCTCTACACAGCCAGCCCTCTTTACTTGGAGGATGCACACTCCACTCCAAGAGACCAGGAGCCTCGTAGCCTCGTAGACAGAAGTACCTGAGTGTTCTTGAGAAGGGTCACCCAGGAGGTCCCAGGCATATCTCAATGGAGGTGACCTTGGTTTTCTCCCTCAGTCAATATTCTGATATGCTTGGAAGGAACCTCTGAGCCACATCCCCAGCCCTATTTTGTATTTTGTTTAGAGATAGGGTCTCACTGAGTTACTTAGCACCTCACATTTTGCTGAGGCCAGCTTTGAACTCAAGATCCTCCTGTCTCAGCCTCCCTAGCTGCTGGCATTATAGGCCTGCACCACCATGCCCAAGTGAATGTTGGCATGTCAAGTGAATCTTGCTTCCAGGAAAGTGAGCTAGACTCCTAAAAACGACCACAGATTCACTCTAACATGACTGTGAGTCTAGAATGCAAAATGAAGATGCCCCTTTCCTATTCTGATGACTGAGCTCTGACCTGCCTGAGTTTGCTGAACTCCCTGTGCTTCACTGTTGTCACTAGTGTCAGAATAAGAGACACTTCCGAGCTTCCGCTTATTTAAGCCCCTACAAATATCATTTAGGAATAATAAATTTAGTGTTTATTTGTCAGAGATAAAACAAAAATATGCATGAATACTTTTAATATATTTAGAATACTAATTTTTGTTACATGATGGTCATTTGGTTTTTGTCCATATAAGCAATTGGTGTTGCATGTCAGAATTAAAAAAAAAAAATATTGTGTTGAGAAATATTGCTTGAATTTTGTAAGTATGAAGTACATATTCAGAAAACAAATCATGCAAATGGGCAATGGTTAGCAATTTCTTTTATCCTGTCAGACCTTAAAATTTAAAATTTTTCCTTTTTTTATTCTTTTTAAATTTTTTTCTATCATGATTTATTTCTGCTAAGTTTTTTATATTAGAATCCTTTCAGCTCTAGAAATTGAGTCCAAATTTTCATTATTTCATTTATTATTTACCACAAGTCCTTCAAAAAGGCATATCATCTTTGATTTTTTTTCTTGGGGGAGGGTTACTGGGAATTGAAATCAGGGACACTGGACTGCTGAGCCATGTCCCCCGCCCTATTTTGTATTTTTTTTAGAGATAGGGTCTCACTGAGTTACTTAGCACCTCACTTTTTGCTGAGGCTGGCTTTGAACTTGAGATCCTTCTGTCTCAGCCTCCCTAGCTGCTGGGATTATAGGCCTGCACCACTATGCCCAGCCCATCTTTGATATTTGATTGTAGATTCTAGACCTTTAGTTTGTTTCTCTCGTTTTTTCAAAATTTATCTAAAATAAATTCTGTGACTTCACATGTATATATACACACATACACACATGCACACTGAATATTTTTTAGTGCATAATATTTTGCCAAGAGAAATAGTTGAATAATCTGTAATGCATGACTTCTAAAAATTTACTCCTGTTTGTACTTTTGTGAAATCTTACATTGTGAAGAAAGGTGGACTTAATTATAATTTAAATCACTGTGTTACCTCATTTGGTTACATTATTGGATTGTTAGGTTAATGTTTATAAAGTGCTTTGAGTTCTTATACAGGACTAGAGAGATTTATGCAAGTATGTGCACAATTTATGTGCAATTATGTATACTCCTTGGAAGAAAGAGTAAATGTCTTAAATATTTTATAGCACATATGCTCTCATTTGCCATATTATTGACAGCAGGCTAAAGGTGAGAAGGATAGCATCTTATTAATCTTTATACCTCTTGTCCCCCCACAGCGCCTGATACTTTTTAAAAGCTCTGTAAGCATAAGAATCAAAGGGAACATGTCTTGTGTAATCATCAGTATCTGCGTCATTTATGATAGATTGCCCCAGCCTTTCTTTCTCATCTGGCTTTAACTCTTGTCTGAATATGCCTTCTCTCATTTATGTGGCATTTAAGTTTTCACTTCTGTAATTACTTGATTGCTAAATCTTATGGTCAACAAGTTGAACATTTAGCTAATACCCTGAGCAAATAACCTGACATGGTTTTTGACAGCAAGGGAATATACAGTCGATGCAGTATTTCAGGAAATTCTGACAACTGTTAGTCAGAGATCATTAATCAAGTAACTGAGATGTTGTAAAATTGGTAGAAATTGCACAGAAATCAGGAATAAAAAGGCTTCATACCGTCTGTGGCCAGCCTTTTAACCTTTCGAGGAGTCTTAGCATTCCTGTTAACTGTGAATTTAATGTTTCTTCCGCTTCATGTGCTTAAGACACCCTCCCCTTTTTTTTTATTACAGGTAATTTTCTGCATAAAGCGATCAGTTAGATAAAGCTGTATTTCAAAACTTTTAAATGTCTTTTATTACGTTATCATGACCATGGTCGATCATTTAGGAAACACAAAGCACTCCCATTTGGACAGATTTATTCTCATATCTTTTTTTTTCCCCTGGATTTGCCAGAACCCCGTCCTGTTCGTGTTCTGAAGGTTAATGCCCAAAGTCAAGCAGACAGAAGCCAAATGCTGCAAGGTTTCCAAGATTAGGACTGATTCCCTTCACAGAAATAAATGATTCCTGCCATGTTCAGTGATTTTGTGCAGCGCTCCCCACGGCTGAGTGAATGCATCAATACTGTAGTTCTTACATGCTGTACATACTGATGACACTCGGTGTTAACTGATTGAGCCGTGCACTGGAGACGACGCACCTGCAAGAGGAGTGCAGACACATATATTTTTATCCTGGTTTTGAAATATTTATTTTACATTTATTTTACGTGGGAGTCATAGTTTCAAATTCCATGGGCTCTCAAGCCACACTGCTAAGGTAGAACACACCGTTAAGTACTGCTTTATTGTCAGAATTATACTGAAATGGTCTCAGGTTTATACCCTTTGCCACAGCCCAATTTTATGCTTTTGAGGGAAAATTATATGAAGGTGTCTATTAAGAATCCTGACAAATTAGGGGCTCTGTGGAATGTAAGTCTCATAAGAGGTTTGAGCTAATGATGGGCAAGTGGATCATTTAATTCAATTATGAGGAATCATTTTGGCTACATTTTTATGTTATATTTTATTATCATGTTTTATAGGCTTTGAGGCAGCAGCAGAAAAGAAGAAATGGAGTCTCAATGATGGTAAACAAGACTGTTCCTCGTGTTGTTTTGACACCATTAAAGGTGTCTGATGAGCAGTCGGATCCGCCTTCAGGTAAAGAGCTAAAATATTGTATGCTTGGCCAGTTTCTTCTCAGAGGAGACTTTCTCACTGAGAGAGATGTCATGTTTTGTTGGTTTTTTTTTAACTGAATAATACTAACACTTGAGGTTTGGTTTAATTTTTTTTCACATCTTTGACTCTGCAGTGATTCAAAAAATATAGAGTCCTACCCAGTTAAAAAAAATATATAAGAAATGAAGTCATCATGAAATGACTTCATTTGCTATTGTCAGTAGATGTGAGGAAATAACTGGTGAATCTAGGTGGATTTTGTTGCTGCTTTGGCTTTTGACTGCTGAACTTTAATGGTGAAGCACATGCTGATTTGAAACACTAGCAAAAGCAGTTCTGCCATGAGTGTGATTTTGTTTTTCAATCCTCTCCTGCAAAATCTGGAATCCTTTATTAGTTTTGTGTTCTAGTAACATTCTTCTTACCTCGGTGCGGCCCTGACCTTTCCTTCCAATTTACCTCTTGTCATTTTCTCAGCTGTATACCATTGTATTTATTATTCTATTAATGTTTGCATTTTCTGTCCCTGCTTCAACATAAAGTTATTCATAAAGGTCTGATCTCTCTTTTTCTTCAGGAATCCCCTCTTCCCTCATCATTCTGTCTCTGTTTTGTCTCATCTTTCACTGGCATCGTACTGTTCAAGATTATTCATGGATTTTTACAAAAGATTAGACTATTTTAAAAGCTATCAGATCAGTAACTGAGTTTTTGATTCTGCTGTTAAGCCATCTGTTCTTGCTTTTGGTCCTGTTTGATTGATTTATTGGGCTTTTCTCTCTTTATCCAGTAAGGGAATCAGATTGTGGCCAAAGGTACTATATTAACTCTTAGAAAGAAAGATTGTATCTATGGTTCCTAAAACAATTTTAGATTTTTCTTTTCAAGGACAGCAAGAGGAAGATAATGGCATAATAACTATTTCCTTTTTTTAGGATCCGAATCTAAAAATGGTGAAGCAGACAGTTCAGATAAAGAAATGAAACATGGGCAAAAATCTCCCACTGGAAAACAAACGAATCAACACTTAAAACGATTAAAAAAGTCTGGTTTAGGTGAGTGATCGATAGATTAACATGTTATATTTTAGAGATGTATGTCTTTTCACATAAGTTATGGAGCATTCCAAAAACCTTTTTAAGTGGCCAAACAAGGAAATTAAAATATCCTTCCATCTATGTAAACCAAAAAAAAAAAAAAAAAAAGAAAAGAAAAGAAAAAGTAAAAAGAAAGAAATATTATAGTTATAATGGAATGGTCCTCAGCTTATAACTGAATTTGTGAATGGCATTATTAGATTAGGCAGAGGTAAAAATAACCAACTTAAAATATGCATTCAAATAATTATCTTTCTAGTTGTAACTTTATCTAATGAGTAATATTTTGTCCATGTAACTGGGTTTCCTTGTATTATTTGCTTTATGGGTGAAAATGCCACTCTTACAAAGGCTTCTTGAATTGGATAATGCATTGTCTTTGGGGTCTGCTGCAGGAAAGCTGTTCTGCTTTGATTTCTGTCTGTGCTGCTTGAAATATTTAGTAGCGTGTGTCTGAATGGTGAGCATGGCTGAGAAACATGGCACAGTCCCTGGGTCTGGCTAGGGGGCACCACGTTTTTCTCCCAAATAGTTCCTTTCTAATAACTCTTCACCAGGGACCCCACTGCAGCTTCCAGAAGCATTAGAATTAAAAAGACAAAAATAAATGCATCCTGGTCTGTATATTATAATTCTTAATCACCACGTCTTGTTCAATGACCTGGACCTGATGGCTTCATTCAAGTCTTTTGGTTATTTCACTTGTGAATAGGATTAATGATAGTAACCTGGATCATTATGATATTTTTGTAAAATGGTTAGTAGAAACTATGAATGTACTGACCTGGACTTAATTACTGGTTCTGCCTCTTACCTTTTTCACAACTTAGGAACTTTCTTATTTGCAGAGTTTATCTTTTTGTATCATTCAAGTGAGATTTTTAACAGATTTATTTATTTTTGGTAAAGTTTTTTTTTTCTTTCTTTTCTGTTGCCTCCTATATGCCAGGCATCTTCTTAAATTCTGGGAACATGCTTTGAATAAAAAGCCTTTTAATATAATTTATATATCCAGGAAAGTAGAATTTATTTTTATTTAAGTTCTTTAAATACAGCATAATTACCTACTTTACATTATTTCTAAGGCTAAATAATTACACAGTTATTATCTAACCCCAGATATGTACTTATGTATAACCACATGCACATGTACTCAGACTTGATTTTTTTCTTGTCTTCTGGGTGTTGTAAACAGCACCTGAAATGGAAAACAACAGCGGGAGAATGACAGAGAATGTTCTGAAAAGTACATAAATGCCCCAAACAAAACCATGTTGCCACACACAAAGTGATTAAAAGATCAGTGACCTTTATTTAGAAATGCCTGCTGTCAATTTCAGTAAAGTCAATGCCATGCGACGAAGTGAGAAAATTCAAGGCACAGCCTCCCCCTCCCCCCAATTTACTTAGCTAACTTCAGGGCTGAAGTCAAAAGGACAGTTTGCCACTCTGTGTCATCAGGATCCTCCAGGGCTCCAGGCTTTAGTCAGGATAGCTTCCATTCTACTTGGAGACATCTTGAAATCCATATTCAAGCAGATAGAAGATCAGAATTCTTTCTCTTAACTCTGTTTACATTAGAGTCAAGCCTGCTCCTAGACAATCCTACAACCACTAAACATTTTATCGGTTCAGATTTGTGCTGGCAGAGTATTTTGGCTGACTTCTGAGCAACTTAAAAGAGTAATAAGGGGGCTACCAGGGTCATTTTTAAAATTAATTAATTATAAATTTTTTAAATTTATGTATGACAGTGGAATGTATTACAATTCTTCTTACACAAATAGAGTAGTTTTTCATATCTCTGGTTGTATACACAGTATATTCACACCAATTTATATCTTCATACCTGTACTTTGGATGACAATGATCATCACATTCCACCATCATTAATAACTCCATGCCCCCGCCATTCCCCTCCAACCCCCCTCTGCCCTATCTAGAGTTCATCTATTCCTCCCATGCTCCCGCTCCCTATCCCATTAAGAATCAGCCTCCTTATAGCAAAGAAAATATTTGGCATTTGTTTTTTTTTGGATTGGCTAACTTCATTTAGCATTATCTTCTCTAACTCCATCCATTTACCTGCAAAATGCCATAATTCTATATTCTCTTTTATTGCTGAGTAATATTCTATTGTGTATATATGCCCCATTTTTTTAATCCATTCATCTATTGAAGGGCATCTAGGTTAGTTCCACAGTTTTGCTATTGTGTGCTGCTGTAAACATTGATGTGGTTGTGTCCCTGTAGTATGCTGTTTTTAAGTACTTTGGGTATAGACCGAGGAGAGGGATAGCTGGTTCAAATGGTGGTTCCATTCCCAATTTTCCAAGAAATCTCCATACTGCTTTCCATATTGGCTGCACCAATTTGCACTCCCACCAGCAGTGTATGAGTATACCTTTTTCTCCACATCCTCACCAACACTTATTATTGTTTGTATGCATAATTGCTGCCATTCTGACTGGAGTGAGATGAAATCTCTTCTCAGAAAAATAAACAATCTGTGAGGTGATAGAGAGCCTACATCTTGGGAGAAAATCTTTACCCGTCACACTCCAGATAGAGCACTAATCTCTAGGGTATATAAAGAACTCAAAAAGCTAAACATCAAAAAAAAAAAAATCAATCAATAAATGGGCCAAGGACCTGAAGAGACACCTCTCTGAAGATGATGTACAATCAATCAACAAATACATTTAAAAATGTTCATCATCATTAACTAGGGTCATTTTTAACTTGCTTTGTGTTAGAGTATAAATAGGAGAAATAACAAATCTACTTCAGTGCAGGAAGGGAGAAGGGAAATCACTTTCACTGGTCACATTTAATACTGTGGTCTAGACATTTTGATATGTTATTTCAGTTAAATCTTTCTTTAGTTTTGTATAGAAGAGTGATTTCCATTTTATAGATAAAGAGACTGAGGCCCAGAAGGGTTAAGAAGGTTGCTCATAAATGGCACAGCTAACATACAAGCCAAGGCATATCTATCCCCAAAGTCCCAGCCATTCATCTTGGATGGAATCCAAATGTCAAATCATCCAGCCTGTATTTTGCCCATGTAGGAACCACCGAGAAGCACCCAGCTCTGTAATGTCATGAGGAGTTTACCTGGTGTTGACAGTGCAGGTGCTGGAGGTATAGATTTCTGTGTCCTTTGTGATAACAGGGACACGAAACGGTGGGATCTGAGATAAGTCAATTAGGGTAGAAACCTGTCCAAAACAAACGGCAGGTGATTACTGGGAAGGACTGCAGCTGACAGCCTAACCTGGCAAGCAGTGGAACAGAGTGGCCTATTTTGTGCCATTGCGGTCAGAAGTGCTTATTAAGCTACCAATTTATGCCCTGCAGTATAAAATGAAAAAAAAGAAAACTGGGAGAAAGGACCTTAAATATAACTGTTCCCAGACAGTTGTGATATTCTTGATGGTCTATTAGAATCAGGATGTTTAGTTCCCTATAAGGCATCTTTGTGAACATTCTGCTCTCTCTTTGCCATTAAATTGTTAGCTCCTTGGAAACAGTGACCTTCCTATGGATCTTTGCAGTCCTTACTGTACCCATTATATCCCTCCTGTTTAATATTTTCTGAATAAGTTTTGAATGAATGAATAATTCAGATTTACTGAATTTCATTCAATCTGGATGAAAGATGCATCTAGTCTTATGTCTCCTTGGATAAAAATGCCTCTATGTATCTGGGGAAGGTCATTCTTTGTGAGGCCCTGTGTAGCTGTTGAACCAGTGCACAGGAAAGATCCCACCCCTCAGCCCATAGCCAGCCAAATGGCAGTAGCTGGCTCTTCCTCATCTGATTCTCCCACTTAAATCCCATGTCTAATTCAAATAGTATCTGAAGTGTGGTTTTAACTTTGCTTGCCTCCTTTTGGTAGGCGTAGCTCTAGATAGGTACTAACTTGTGGAAAACATTCTGAAATGAAAACAAATGCCACAAGTCTGTTATAATTTGAGAGTTCTGAAACAACATCCAATCAAAATTGAACTTCAGAGTATAAGTCTAAATTGTCATTGTTATTGTGAGATTTCCCTAATAGGAAACAAAACAACAATAACAACAAAAATACTTCTAATCCTCCCCCAAGTGCTTCCTCTTGATATCTGGAAACCACTTAATTTGTCAAATTGTAGGATAGTCAACCTGTTTACTTGGCTCTTGGAATTGAATGAGTGAGCTTGTGTGGTTAAGCACACAGTGGAACCCTGTGTTTTCCTGAGGACTTAATAGGGGACCCACCATAGCCCTTCCCACACACTTTCATATGCCCACTTTCCCTGGAGAGGATTCCCAGCTACACAATTTAAAAAATTACTATTACTATTATTATTAGTAGTAGTAATAATAACCAGCTACACAATTTAAAAAAAATAGTACTAGTAGTAGTAGTAATAATAACAGCAACAACTACAATGACTTTCCTCAGCCATTGTAATTCTGATGGTAATCTTGGTGTTCATATGAGAATTAAGTCATTCAGCATGAGAACCCACTGCTCTTGATGTAGGCATTTCCTTCCTTTACTCTCTGCCAAGGTTATGTGTGAAAACTGAGTATTTCCCTGAGGAGCGCTCTGATAAATACACTTGGTAATGTGGGATGAGTGAGTCCAGCTGAAAAAAATAATTCTAAATAGTGTTTCTCTGATGGTGATGATATAATCAAACAAAAAATTGGTCTGTCCCTCTCCTTTTTCTGAGTCAAGCATGGTAGAAAACACAGTTCCAATATGCATAAAACCAAATTCTAACCATGTCTACAGGGGTTCTTTTATTATCACAGGCCACTAAACATTAGTCTACCAAATAACCGGAGCAGAAACCTCATCTGATGAGATGCAGGATAGGTGTGGCTGCAAATGATGTTGAAAATACAGATTTTTTTCTTGCCTAATCAGTATTTTCAATGTTCTCTGTTCTTGTCTTTGCAAAGG